AAAAAAAAAAAAAAAAAAAAAGAAAGAGTAAATGACCCCAGCATTACAACTGCACATTTTAGGTGCAGTGAACTCCATGCACTCAACTTTCCCATGGGAAACCTGATCATGTAAAGGGGAAAGGAAAGAAATATCAATGCCAACATTCACTGGTGGGGACATATTACAATTAACAAGATTTACAAGACAGAATGAATTAGGTGTACAGTACATACATTGGAATCTTGAGTAAAGTGTGTGATATAAAGGTTGCTTTATGAAATTTTTAAAAATATTATGAAACCTAGAAAAGATGTGGATAGTTTTTTTACTGAAGATTACTCAAATATAATAAAATCAGTTGTAAATCTCCACGAAAGGCTAATTATGGAACAGTGAGGTTATCAAGTTGACACATTTCACCGTTATTACTTTAGATACTATTATTGCAGTAAATTTTACACGTGTGTATGGGACCATGTATTTGTATAAACTTGTTTCCTTTCATTCCCCAGAGTAATCAGTATACTAATCTGATATACATTTTCCCCAAAAGATTATTTATTTCCTATTATTCTTCAAGCAAAAAGTCATCACTTTATTATGTTAAAATCTCTGTATTGAGAACAATATACTGCACTGTGGTTTTGCTATATACATTATTATATAATTATTATTTCATCAGTGGATTTTATTAATACCTCTATGCTGTACATGGTGTTTACAATCATCTTAGGGAGTAGGTACTTAACATATCTTGAATCTTTTTATTTCCCTTTGCTTCTCTTCTGTTCTCTTTCCTTCCATCCCTAGAGCCTCTTCCACCATTGTCATCATTATTATTAATAGTAATTTCTTACGTTAGTTCTTGTTTGTGACATATAATGATTACATTCATTGTGGGGAGTTGTTACATGTACATGACACATCGTATCTTTTTATTCTTCCTTCCTTTCCCCTTTTCTCATTTTGGTCTCTCAGTCCCATTCTGATTTGAAATTTATGTTGATAACTTCAGTTCTGCTGTATTAGTTTAACTAGCAATAATCCTCACTGAATTGTTACATCGCAACTTCTGCCTCCACTTTCTGTCTGATTAGTAAGATGCTGTTTGGTTTTTTCTACTACACACAGTATGTTCAAAATATGCCATAAACATTTAATTAAAAAACACATTGAAAGACACATTGCCCGTATTAATCCCCCTCAAAGTACCTGCCTTCACTTTTAACAGATTTATGTCATCACTCTGATTTTACTTTTGAAGCACGCCTGGGACTTTTCTCTCGTGAATGGCTTTACAAGGTGTGATAAAATAATAAATAAATTGAACGCTGCTCCTGTGTGCTATCCAGTAGAAATGAAGGCTGAAAAAACATTATAGTGTGTGCTCATCAGTCTTATTCATTGAATGTGCTGTCATGATACTTCTACTTCTTCTGCAAAGTCACAATGATTATGAAAGGTAAACATTTTGAAATGATTCAGGCATCAAAGTAGCCAAGACAGTGCAATTAGAGGCATTCATGGAACCAGACTTCTACAACTGCTTTAGAGTTGCATGAGTGATAGGATATGCGTTTTTAAAGTGAGGGAGAGAATTTGGAGGACATTAATGACAGCCTGTCTTTTAGAGTAATTTTTTAAATTTACAAGCATTCACCATATTTTGGATCACATCTAATATACAGAGAGGTGCGTATAAAAGGCAAAGAGGTGCCTACAAAAGCATTGCTCTTGCTTCTGAGGCAGGAGGACAAATGTAAAGTAATATGAGTAGGTGCATTCAGTGTAGTTTACACAGACAAAAAGCTGACCCAGCAGAGCATTAACATTTATTAATTCTGAAAAAGCCTGGATAATGGTGTTTTAAAATTATTCTTACAATATTTATTCTATTTTTGCAATTTAAAATATGCTGGGGTTTTACAGCAGAGAACAGGCAAATGCAGCACATACCTACTGAGTATCTTTTGGGTCTACATTTCCTTCCCCAGAGACCTCACTGCCATCAAAAAGAGAAGGCACAAAAACACGGCAGCATAAAGGGTGGACAGGTTACAGAAAGATCAGGTAACCAACAACTTCCCCTCCATCACAACGAAGGTGCAAAAAAATGCCTGAGAATTTGGTCATACTCATCTTGTGTGAGAAGAGATGAATTTATGCTGAACATGTACAATGTTGCTGCCACCATATAAATAGAGAAGTCCAGCAGAAGGAGCCCCACATTGAGTAATTTTAGAAAGATGCAAGATAACAACTAGTAGTGAGGATGGACAAGAACCATACGGACAACTTGATATTGATCATCTTCTGCATGTACTTTGCTCATGGCTTTACTTGAATGAAACTGCAGTAACTTCCTGCCTTGTTTCTAAAAAAGTTTCCAGAAGGCTTTAGGTTACCTGGCTGGCATAAGTGTGGAAAGATTCTTGTCATCCCTCTGGATTTTGGATACATAGAAGGTGCATTCTTAGGAAGGGTTCTGGGCAGACACAGACTCCATGCCCTTTGCCAATGATATAAACTCAGAGATGATTCCCAGTGTGGCTTCCCAGGGGAGAGAACTACAGAGTGAGGCGGTCACAAAGAACATGTTGACACTTCCTGCATCCTTAGAGACTCAGTATCCAAAGCTCCTCATGTTTATAAAAAAATGCTATTTTTTCATGAAGGACCCAGCACATTAAAAATATTTAAAAGCCTAAGACTCTACAAAGATAAAATTCAGGATGGGGAAAATCCCTTAACTTCAAAGCCAAGTTACTTAACCAATTCTTTTTTTTTAATTTTATTTTTACTTTAAAGATAAAAGGAGGGAAACATTAACAGACATACAACATTTTACAACATATCACAAGCACAATACAGACAATACAGAGTTACAAA